GCTGAGTCAACCCTGAGCCGGTGAGATTTGAACCGCTGACCTGCTGATCTAGCAGTAGCCTGCAGTGCTGCATTTAACCACTGCGCCACCTTACAAGAAATTGTAAATCTATACAAGGAAAATAAAATATTGTGGTCTTTAGCTTTTATTTAATTAACCTGCTTCCTTTCTTTTTGTTTTCCTCATCTTCCCTAAAATAAACTATCTTGAATATAACTAACTGAGTTTCAAACACCAGAGAGCATAGACCAAACATTGGTAATAGGGTAAGATAGACAGGATAGGATAGGATAGGATAGGAGGAATGGAGAATAGAGTAAAGTAGAACAGAACAGAAAGTATGGAATGGAATGGAGAATAGAATAGAAAGTATGGAATGGAGAATAGGAATGGAATGGAATAGAATAGAATTACAGAGTGGGAAGGGGCCTTGGAGGTCTTCTAGTCCAGTGGTTCCCAAACTTGGCAACTTTAAGACTTGTGGATTTCAACTCCCAGAATTCTCCAGCCAGCTCTGCTGGCTGGAGAATTCTGAAAGTTGAAATCCACAAGTCTTAAAGTTGCCAAGTTTGGGAACCACTGTTCTAGTCCAACCCCCTGCTTAGGAAGGACAGCCTATACCATTTCAGACAAATGGTTATCCCATCTCTTCTTAAAAAAACTTCCAGTCAGGATGCTGGTGGGAAGATTCTGGAAATAGAACTACGCACATCTTTTAAGTAGCAGAGGTTGAAAAAAAAACTGATCTACTATATAAGTGTGATATTAAGTTTTGGGTTTGGAAAACGGGCTTTTATTTTTACTAACCCATGGATTTACATAAGTAGTCAAAGCCTGCTCTCTGTCATGCTGTATTTAGTCTGCTATGTAAAACACATATTAAAAGGACGAAAATCTATGTGGCAGTATAGAATATTACTCTGCATGTTTTATGATTGTTGCGGTTTTTCTTGTATATGGTGTTTCCATTATCAGACTACAAAAAATAAAAGTGATATTTCCTGCTTTCTAATCTGGAATTCGCATATTACCAGTATGGATTATTAAAAAAGGCTTTTAAATTATATTAAGGAACTGTCATTTCCCCATGTGTTTTATTGACTTTTTTTTGATGTTACTTCAATAGGTATAACTTTGATTCTTGGCGAGAATTTTCTTACTTGGACGAAGAAGAAAAAGAGAAAGCAGAATGGTGTGTAAAGGAAAGGGCTTTTCAAAAGAAATGATTAATATATCGAAACGATGCGTTCACACATTAGACTGGGTGTCACCAATTTTAGACAGCCCTGTATTTGCTCGGAAATAAATCCCTTTTAATTCAGTGGAAAATACTTACGTATACATAGTTATGAAGAGGATTGAAACCTTATCTAGGAATATGTCTGAACTTAAGTAGTAATCTTGTGTTGTTCTATATTACTAGATGGTACATTATTGTTGCCTTGTTCTTATTATTAGTGGTTTTGGGTCAGTCCTGATTCTTTTTCGACACACTATTTTTGGACATGGCTTGCCCCTCTTCCAAGGGGAGGGGGAGGGAAAGAGAGAGAGAGAGAGAGAGGAGGAGGAAAGAAGGAAGGAAGAAAAATAGAAAGAAATAGAAAGAAAATACATACACATATACATAAATGTTCTGACCCCCTCCTCTGTCCAGTAACGAATGCCAAGGCAAGCTTAACTGGAATGTACTTTATTAGCAAGAAACCAAAACCTCGGTGGCTGAAAGCCAAGCATAACAAACAGATA